ATCTGCCTGCTTCTGTTCTGTGTGTCTTTGTCCCCATGGACAATGCTGGTTCACTTAATTTACCATCTGTTGGCTCATATTGTTGTTTTTGTTTTGGACTTTTCCATTCTGCTAGTCCTGCCTGACCATCCTGTGTGCCCTAATTGGGCCTCTACTATGTAGCTGGTGTTCCCACCTCTTGGCTTTCCAGTGGGGTTCATCTCAGTTGTGACAGCAGAAAGCCAAGGGGCCGGTATTTGCGCCTTCTCTCTCAGTTCATGTGGATTGTGGTGGCAGCAATGGTAGGGGCCCTTCCTTTTCCAGGAATCTTAAATGGATTTGCTTCTATCACTTAAAAATGTTTTTTTTCTTGCCCTTTCCTTACTTTAACTGTTAATATCCTATTCCTCAGTTCCTCTTATTTGTCATAACTATTGTATGCACAGCCTCCATTCATTTCCTTCTGCTTTACCTTAGGCTCACTATAGTCTAGTTTTCAACTCTACCAAATTTCTTTTGTCAAGGTCATGAAGAGCTAAATCCCAATGACAAATTCTCACATTTTACTGTTTTTCTCACACTTTACATTCTCACATATTTATCAACATAGTTGATTGTTCTCCCTTCTTGACACATTTTCTTCTCTTTGTTTTCAGGCACCATAGTTCTCTTGTTTTACTTTTAAATTTTATTCCTTCTCTGTATCCTGACCTTACTTAATTCTTCTCTTTTTAACTTCTTTAGTTTGGAGCTCAGTCTTTGGATGTGTTCTGCTGGATGTCACTACCCATGTGATGCTGGTTACTTCTCTGATCACATCTCCTAAAATCCTTTCTTATTTAGCTTTATTAATCTCTTTTGCAGCAGCCTATTTTGCATAATGGGCTCTCTAACTTCCCTTAGGTATTTGAGCAAATGTCATCTTTTTAATGAAGCCTTCCCTAAACCCCATATCTGAAATTCAGTATTCTCCCTGTCCACTCAATTTTCTTTAATATTCAACATTTATATATTTTATCTATTGTTTTCCTTCTTGTCCCTAGACACCTCTCCTTCAGGTTAGACACTTGTTTTCCATGCTGTATCCTCAAATCCTAGAAACAATGTCTGGCATGTAGTTAGTATTCAATAAATATTTGCTCAAAGAATGAATGATTTTTTTTTGTGAAGTGGTGTAAGTTAATTTTACCACTTTATATCAAAGCTCATGTATGATTCCATTAAAGAAAGAAGTCCAATATGACATAATTACTTAAGTATTTTGTGAGTATTTGCCTTGTGCAGGACTATGTGTTTTTCCTAAAGAAATAATTGGAGAAATAATTTTTTAAACAAAATTAGAGATAGTACATATAGTATGTAATGGAGTCCAATATAGGGTTGTAAATATTATGCTCAATTCCTACAAGTGAGAAATAACTATGGAATAGAGTAATCCATAGAGGTGACTTCATAAATTGAAACTGAGTTAAAATTTGAAGGTTTATAGAAATTGATGGCCAGGGGTTTAGCTCAGCAGCATGACACTTGCCTGGCAAACATGAAGTCCTGAGTTCGATTCCCGGTACCAAAAAGAAAAGAAATTGAATCTATGGAGAAAAGAAGAGATTTAGAGTCCAGGGAATGTGTTTAAAGAATGAGAAAGGTCTGCATGGGCAGAAGATTTTGTAACTGATATTATTAAGGGGATAAAGGAGAAATTTGGGGATCAGATTACTAAGGGTCATAAATAGTGTATGAAACAGTAAAAGGCCATCACAGCCATTGGAGCAGGGGTGCCCTGTGCTAGAAATGGAACTGTGAAGAAATACTGTCAAGCTTGTGGGTCTTAAATTTAGCCCCAAAATCACTGGATCTATTAGCAGCTAATGGAACATTTTAGAATAAGAATGAGATTATACATGTATAGACTTCATTATGTGTTGTTCTCTCTCTCTCTCTCTTTTGTTTTTGGTACTGAGAATTGAACTCAGAACCTTGCACATGCCAAGCAGGCACTGTGCCATTGAGCTGTGTCCCTGACCCGTGTAGTTTCTCTTTGAGGTTATATATAAATATGACATCTTAAAGACTCTTCTATTAATACAACTTCTGTTGGGAATAAGACCAAACAAATGCAGATTAGTATGATGCTGTACATATAGATATTTTTTTGAGGGGTAGAGTGCTGGGGATTGAATTTAGGGCATCATGTATGTCAAGCACATGCTGTACTACTGAACTATACTGCCAACCTCCCAAATCTTTGTGGGAATCACCAGAGTGGGGAAAGAATACTTCAGGGTGGGGTCTCTGTAGATGTTGGCAGGTGAGTACCTGTAGCAACAGCCAGATTTAGTCTCATCTTCTGCCTTTCTGCACTGATAAAGGTAAGGTTCAGTGATGATTTATGTTCACTTGATACTTGATAATCATTTACTGCAGGTTCTCAGAGAGCTTAATGAAGCATCACAGAAATGAGTATTTTTTCTAGTAGTTTTTATTCAAGTATATTTTATGAGGTATATTTCCCTATGCAGCTCTCAAGTGATCATTCTCCAGACCCTGTGTACCTTGGATCAGGTTAGTTGTTCATACTGTAGCACATGATTTCATTAACTGTACCACAGGATGTGTAGTCATCTTTCCTGATTACACCATCAGGTTCTGGAGTCACTGCAGTCCCGTCAGGGAGGAGCAGGAGTTGGGAGTTAGCAAGTGAAAAGGCTGGGTTCTGCAGCTGCTTCAGAGGAACACAGGCCTTTCCCTTTCCATTTTTAACTTTAGTTTTTCTCTCATTGAACTAAGGTGAAAGTGGGCATGACATCTGTTCTTTTGTTCACTGTAAGTGTACAACTGGAAAATTTTATTGCTTTTCCCTGTTATCCATTTTATTGTGGTTAGACAGTCACCATACACAGAGCACTGTTTCTAAAATTCTCTGCAAGAAAGGATCAATTTTTTTGTGTGGCTTCTAATTTTACGCTTATAAAATACAATAAAACTGAATTTTTATTTTTTATTTTAATGTAATACAAGTAGATATTTTAAAAGAAAATATAAAGCACTCTTCTATTAGAAAACCCAAAATTTTATAACAAAACAATCAGAAAATAACAGTGCTTAGTATACTGTGTATCATGATCTTATAAGAATGACCAAAATATTACTCAGAGTACAAGTTGTAGACAAACATTAATTCTTTCTTATGAAGAAGAAACAACTAAAAGGACAAAACTTCCTTCTCAATGAACAAAAGATACTAGTAGAAATGAAACAAATTAGCATTTATCAGGCTGGGGATTTAGCTCAGCGGCAAAAGCGCCTGCCTGGCAAGCGCAAGGTCGTGAGTTCGGTTCCCGGTACCGGAGGGGGGAAAAAAAAATTAGCATTTATCTTAAAATATTTTTGAAAGAATAAAATAGATAATTTGGGGAGTTGTACCCATTTTTATAACAGCAGAATTTATTATAACTAAATGTACATGTCTACTGTCATATACAATGTATATGTCCATTAACAGATGAATAGATAAAGAAAATGCAGTATACTCAACAGAGGACTACTATACCATACAAAAAGAAAAACTGGAGGCATTTGTAGGCAAATGGATGCAACTTGAAAACATAATGTCAGATATACAAGCTTAAATATCACATGGTTTCTCTCATATGAAAAACTTTATATATAGATAAATAGAAAGTAGGAAGAAGGTCAAAAACTGAACTTTCAGAAAAAAAATTTTTTTCTTTGTCTTTTTTGAGACAGGGTCTCGCTATGCAGTTCAGGCTGGCCTTAAGCTCACTTCATAGCCCAGGCTGGTCTTAAACCTGCAATGATCCTCCTGTCTCAGCCTCCCGAGTGCTAGGCTGGGATTACAGGTATGCATCACCATGCCTGGCACTAGAAAATTAAAATTTTAAAAAGACGTGAAAAGGAGAAGTTTACTTTTTCCTTTTCTTTTTTGGGGGGATGCTGGATATTGAACTCAGCTGGACATTGAACTCGCACATGATGAGCATGTGTTTAACTATTGAGCTACACACCCAACCTTTCACATTTTTATTATTAGAATTGATAGTGTACTCAGTCAAATTAATAAAAGTCTGTATAGTTATTCTCAATTACTTTGCTTCTTACAGTGCAGATAATAGACTTACGGATGGCTGCTAGTCCATGGCCCACACTGAATAGCAGTGTGCTAGATGATAATTTTTAGAGTTTCTGCAACAGAATTGTGGGCCTCCATGAGTAGAATACAAAGCATGGAAAACCCAAGCCAGGATGAATCATGAATAAATTAACAAGTATAAGTAAAAAACAAATATTTTGTAAAAGGCACTGATCCTAAAGTACATCTCTGTACATTTTCAATGCATCATTTGTGGCTTTGTTTTATTTTTTTTTAATTTTTATTTATTTAGGTTTTTTTTTTTTGAGACAGGGTCTTACTATGAAGTTCAGACTGGCCTTGAGTTCACTTTGTAGCCCAGGCTGGTCTCGAACTCGCATCGGTCCTCCTGCCTTCAGCCTCTTGAGTGCTGGGATTATAGGCGTGTGCACCATGCCCAGCCTTGTTTTTCTTTTTAAATTAATTTTTATTGCTGAAGATGTTTTCCCAAAGCAGGGTTTATTGATTCCCTGCATAAAACCCAACTGAGAAGTTCTTGTTAAAAAAAAAAATATCCCATTTGGGTGTGGTGGCACATACCTGTAATCCCAGCACTTGAGAGGCTGAGGCAGAGGAATTGCAGTGGGGTCAAGGCCAGCCAGGGCTACATAGTGAGTTCAAGGCCAGCCTGAAGTACATAGTGAGACCCTGTCTCAAAAAAAAAAAACAAAAAAAAAACACATCCCCAGGCCTATAAAATCACAATCTCTATAAGTGGAGCCTAGGAATGTATAGTTTTAAGGTAAATCTCTGTTCTTCCTCCCCCAGGTAATTCTTATTGTAAAGTATTATTGCTGTGATCATTTGTTGTATATGTGCATGTTAAACAAATGAAGAAATGGAACAATTAATACTGTAATTTTTTTCGTAGTTATATCAGAGGAGGAAAATGAGCTAGGGCTCTTTTTAAAGTTTCAAGCAGAACGGGATGCAACGCAAGCCGGCAAAATGATGGATGCCACTGGCAAGGCACTCTGTTCCTCAGCCAAGCAAAGGTTTACCATGGCTTTCATCATCTTTAAATCTGTAGTCAATATGACAATTTTGACATATGTATTTGTGTGTATTTGGAGAGGGAAGGTAATTGATCACCCCAATAAAATGTTATTACAGTATATAACTGAAGTATATAACTGTTTTTGATGCCTAGCTTTTAATTAATTTTATATTCAAAAGAATTTTTTAAAAATTTTGTTCTTGGTTGCCTAATTCCTAGAAATAGCTTTATGGCTGCATTTCTATTTCTTAAGTGTTTTAATGTAGCCGAGTCACAAGATGGCTAATTTTAAGACTTTTTCTTTCATTATTTTTTTGGCAGTGCTGGGGAACAAATCCAGGGCCCTTGCACATACTGGCCACATGCTCTACCACTGAACTATATAAATGCAGAAATATATCTACTACACAAAATCTCCTGTAATTATTAAATATAGCCAAAATCTTTATATTTCAGAAGAAGAATGAAAACAAGCTGAAAAAGAAAAAAAAAAAAAAAGAAAACAAGCTGGGCATGGTGATATGCACCTATAGTACTAGCATTCAGGAGTGTGAGGCAGGAGAATCTCCACCAGTTGAAGGCCAGCCTGGGCTACAAAATGAATTAAAGTCCAGCCTGAACTATAACTTTCCTTCCCCACCTCCCCCTCCAAAAAAAAAAAAAAAAAAAGAATGAAAATAAACCTTCTCGGGCCTGTAATGATGATGCTCCAACTGTTATAGCTTTGTTCTAAAATTGCACATCAGTGTAGAAGTCCATCTTGAAGGAGGTGAGAAAGAGACACTCAGAATAGGGCCTTACAGGGCTACTAAATCAAAAGTAGAGGAACTGGAGTTGATTTATGTTTCTTAAATACTTGCTTTGTTGTCCTCATCCTTATCTGCTAAAAACTCCAGATTCATTAGTCCTAGTATTTTATCTGCTCTTCTAAAGATTTTCCTATATTTGTCAAATGAAAGGTTTTCTACTGTTTGAATTGGATACTTTATGAATGCAAGTTCTCTGTTATCCTCAGAACTCTTCTAAATGGAAGGTTAACTTGGCAGATCATACAAGGATTGATATTCCTAATGTAAAAATTATGTATTTCTTAAAGTAAAAAAGAGAGTATAGAAATATCTTTAATAATTAAAAGTTGGTAATATAGTCTTTATTTGCTTTCTAAATCTCTTTAGCCATCTTACTAATTTCCTATTTGTAGACTCATGTTTATAGGAAATATGCTGTATGATTGATTTAAACTCTTATTTTGTTTTGCTGATGGGATGTATACCTCTCTAATTTTTGCCTCTCTGCTACTAGATTGGCTTTGTGTACTCCTCTGTCTCGTCTTAAGCAAGAAGTAGCAACATTCAGTCAAAGAGCTGTGTCTGATACCTTGATGACAGTTAAGCGGATGGAGCAGGCACGCACAGAATACAGAGGAGCTCTGCTGTGGATGAAAGATGTATCTCAAGAACTGGACCCAGATACTTTAAAGCAAATGGAAAAGTTCAGAAAAGTATAAAATTATATCCTTTCCTTTCCTTGATACATAAAATAGAGAGCTGATATGGAATAATTTAATGATGACTATAATATGACTATTTTTGAAAAATCTGTTTTATTTTAAATTCTTGGTTGCTTGAAGATTTTGGTTGAAATAGGAAAGGTTGTTATATTTTAACTCTGTGAGTGGCATTTCCCCATTAACCTTTATTATTAATTTTTTTTTTTTTTTTTTTGGTACCAGGAATCAAACTCAGGACCATATGCTTGCCAGGCAGGCACTTGTGTATTAATTTTTTTATTCACCTCACAATAGCTCTAAGTACACTTTTTTCTTTTTTAGTGGTATTGGGGATTGAAATCCGAGGTACTCTACCATTAAGCTCTACCTCCAACCCTTCATATTTTTCATCTTGTGACAGGATCTCACTGAATTTCCCAGGCTGACGTGGAGCTTGTGTTCCTCCTGTTTCTTGTGTTCCTCTTGAGTAGCTGGGATTATAGGTGTACACCACTGTGTCCAATTTTATTTACACTTAACATATTGCTTACCTGAACTTTCAAAAATTACAGGGATAAAATAGTTACTGCCAAAGGAAAATATATAATTTAAGTAAAATTTTATGTAAAATGATTATTAATGCTAAGGAAAAGTAAAAGTTATCACATTTTTCATTTATGAAATAAAATTTGAATTAATCAAGTATTTTATTTTACCAATTTTTTTCATTCTGTCACAATATAAAATTTGACTCCAAACCTTCTAAGTAACTATCTATATATGGACATAGGTTTTTGCTAAATAAACTCATGATAAATTGTATCCCTTAGATTTACCATATATGGTATTGACATTAATTTCAGATTAATAAATATTTAAGAAAGTTGTCATAAATTGTAATACACCTTGTGCCAGCTGTTGTAAGTGGTTTGTCTCACTGATTATTCACAACAGATCAACCACAACCACCTCTTACACTATCCCTTTCACAATCCTTGACAGAATTGAGTTCAAGGTAGTGGTTAAGCAACATTGTAAATGCCATTGAATTTTACACTGTAAAATAGTTAACTATGTTTTGTGAATTTTACCTTAATTAAGAAAAAAAAACCGTGAATACAATCCGAATTCCCATCTGGACCCAAAAAACTCTGCATGATCTGAATCTGGTCCTTAAGCCAGCCTCGTCTTGTTCTTGCTTTCTGTGCCCCGGGAAGGATATGCTCTGCCCTGTTCCTTCCTCTTCTATGCACATAATAAGCTCTTTACCCTTTCTCAGGACATTTGTCCTTGATGTGTGCTGGTCCTGAAATACTCCCTCCATAGTCAGCATGGCCTCCTCTTCATCTTCTTTTCCTGTTCATGCCTTACTAAGCATAAGGCCTTCCTTGGTCATTTTAGTAAAAGTAGTCACCCATTTCTGTTCACTTATTCACTGTCTTTGTGAGCTGAGATTATTTTATATATTTATATATTTCTTTTTTCTCATGCCTCCCTACCCAAGGATAGTGGGGAAAAACATTGTTTTATTCACCACAGTATTCCAGTGCCTAGAGCAGTGGTTTGTGCAAAATAGACATCTTGTAAATATTTGTTGACTGAATACATTTAGAAGGTGAGCATTTATACTACCTGATGATATCTGACTCACTTTAGATCTAAGAAATATTATAAATATCTATATGATTCAGAAATATAATGCTACTCACCATTTTAATTAAGCCCCTTTCCATTTATTCTTCTGTTCTTAGATAAATACTATCCACAATCTTAAACATCTTAAATGCTTCTTTTTATTTGGAATATTTTTTCTTATGAGCTATATAATTTCTGTCTGTCATTCATATTAAAAATGCCTACTGGAAAGAATTTCCTATAGTTGCTAAAAGTAACCAAAAACTTCATCATTAATCATGGACTATTAGTGATACAGGGAAAGGAAATTGGTATTATTTATTAGAATTCCATGTATCTGAAAATATTTGTTATGAACTTGTGTAGTATCTGTATTCCTGGCAGTAATAATTAACATTCTTATGATTGCAGGTACAGATCCAAGTGAGAAATAGTAAAGGTTCTTTTGACAAGTTAAAGAAGGATGTTTGTCAGAAAGTGGATTTGCTTGGAGCTAGTCGATGCAATATGCTATCTCACTCACTTGCTATCTACCAGGTACCCACCTCCATGGTTAGCACGTAGTAAAGAGGAGTGGTGATATTTCTGTTTACAGTTGGCTAAAGCATGTAAAAAATTATATAACTGATCTGGTTTCTTTGACTCTACCATAATTGACTTACTAAGGTTATAATAGAGAATAATAAAGTTCTAAACTAAGAAAGACCTTAAAAATTGTCTACTCCAGGGGGCTGGGGATATAGTTCAGTGGCACAAGCGCTTGCCTGGCAAGTGCAAGGTCCAGAGTTCAATTCTCGGTACCAAAAAAAAAAAAAAAAAAAATGTCTACACCAGTAACTCATGTTACCTTCCCTGGTGCCCTCTAGGGACAGACTTTGAAACATCTCAAATTAAAATGGCAATGTTGAGGAGGCTAAATTCAAGGCCCATTAGCCTCAGTTCACCCAGCGCTGCTCAACTTCTGGTTTTGAACTTCTCTATGCAATTTCATTTGAAGCAAAGATACTGTGGCTCAAGGAGTTTGAAAGTTTTTCTATCATTTTATAGATGAGAAAAGTGAAATGTAAAAAAATTAAATGGCAGGGTTGAGTTTAAAAAACCTTTTTTTCTAATTTTAGGTCATATGTTCTTTTCACTCTAACAAGTTGCCATTTTATACACTAATTTAGAAGCCTCAATTATATTTATAGTATCCTAAGTCATACATAGATAATATACAATGAATGTTAGATATTAAAAAGTGGCAGTTACTTTAACATATATTTATAAATAGCAAAAGATAATAACCTATACTTATATTTAGAAAAAGAATGTTAAAGGAAATGGCTACTTGCTGCTTTTGGTAGTCTTCCTAATTCAGTTCAGTGCAGTGAATTCAGGAGTCAGAAAAGGATGCACTGAAAATAAAAAGTGTATGACCATTTGTGCAGCGTAATGTCTAAAGCACAATAGCTATTAGTTAATTGTCCTTTATTTTCTCCACTCATCACTTTCACTTTGAACAGGAAAATTTCCAATTACTTGAGTTAGCTGGAGAACACATTCTGTGGGCAAATCCGTTTTGAACCCTCCAAGAAAGGCCAAATTTAGTGATAAATATTTTCTCCAATAAAAAAATGATGGTGTATGCTTACCAACATAAAGATTATACATACATTACTCCTTCTCTAGAGGTTGTTATTTCCATGCTTTTAATATATCTGTTTTGGATTCTCCAGTATTCTGATCCATGGGTTTTTTCTCTTTGCTGTAGTCACTTGTAGGTGGCCCCAGTGTACATATTCCAGTGCCATAAATAGGTAGGCACACATATATGCAGACAGAGTGCTCATTTTTATACAGAACTATGACTTATGTTTAATTCTTGTTCCCAAACTTGGACAGTTGAATTTAGTTCCTGCTGCTTCTTTCTCAGCCATTATTTGTCTACACTACAGAGGAAATAAAGTAGTGAAGAAATCATGGAGGTGAAGCAGAACTGTAGTATCACCTTTTCTTTTTCTGCAGAGAACATTGCTTGGATTCTGGGAGAAAACAGCTCGAATGATGTCCCAAATCCATGAGGCCTGTACTGGCTTTCATCCATATGATTTTGTAGCTCTCAAGGTATACTTTTCCCCATGTCTTCTTACATAGCTATATTATACTTCATTTGAAACTATCTTTTGAACATTGAAATATAGCATTGAAACTATTTTTTTAAAGGTTATTTTCTAAAACATTGGGAAGCATTTTTTTGTACTCCTTCAGCCAAGGATCAGCCCTTGCCTGATTCTAAACACTACCAGTAACACTGAAATCCAGGGTAATGCTGCTGGCAGGCTCAAAATATTAGTAGGATATGGTAAAGAGGGTTGGAGACCATGAGAACAAAATTAAAATGTAAATGACATAAGAAAAGGCTTTAGAAAGGAGAAATTTAAGAAGAGCAAGTGATGGAAAATGGTTGTATATTCTCAAAAATGGCCACATTACTTACCTTACAATTTCAGAAGTTAAAAACAAATTTCCTTGTTTTACTTTTACATTGATGTTATAGATGTGATTAATGATAACCAAATTACATCAGTTATGGTCATTATATGAGATATGGTCAAAATATACAATGTATTTTATATAACAGTTTTATTACAGTGTAATACACATTGCCATTAATCCTCCTCAAAATATTCCCTTTCTTTGTTTTGTTTTGTTTTTGTTTTTTTTCCGGTACCAGGAATCAAATTCACAACCTTGAGCTTGCCAGGCAGGTGCTGTGCTGCTGAGCTAAATCCCCAGCCCCAAAATATTCCCTTTCTTTAAACACATATTCTATTCCCATTTTTCAAGCAGTTTTGGAAGTCTCTTTTCATGAGTGTCTTTACAAGTTTTGATAAAAATAGGGTGAGTGCTGCTGCTGAGTGCCATCCAATGAAAAGGCAGGCTTATAAAAACATTACGGTGTGTCCCTAGCCTTATTCACCAGGTCTGGCACTGTGCAACTTCTGGCTCTTCTGAAAGTCATGATCAAAATGACCGTGATTCAGGACACCAAGGCAGCCTTAATTTTAATATCTAACATTCATAGTAGAACTTCTTCAGAAAGTGGCAAGAATGATGGCCCAAGTGTGTTCAAAGCGAGGGGCAGCAGAACATGGTGGTGCATGTTTGTAATCCTAGTGCTTGGGAGGCTGAGGCAGAAGGATTACCATGATTTTGAACCCAGCCTGGGCTACACAGTGAGAACCAGTCTCAAAAAGTTAAAGAAAAAAAAAGGAATTTTGATGGGGATTAATGGCATTATGTCTTTTAATGTAATTTTCTTTTATAATTTAAACATTCACCATAGGTTTTGATCCTATCTTGTTCACTAAATGTGTGATTACAGCTAAAGAAGTTAACATGTTAGATCAACACTTCCTATAGCAGTTAATGTGATAGTTGTTCTTTGGCTGTGATTACACTGCTTTTGACATTGGTGTATCTTGCAGTCACCTTCTTTACGTATGTTATGTCCAGCAGGGTCATACTGTGATAGTCCTTTCTTCAATTCTTATAAACTCAATTTCAGTATCTTTTAATTTATTTATTCCTTCTTACTATCAGCAGAACTTGAAAATATTGCTGGTGAGATCCCCAAAGCTAGATGTGGGATCTATAATGAACTCATGTCTTGCGACCATATATTACTGGGCTTTGGGATAAATTTCTAAGTTTATATTCTGACATGGCATCTTCCAGTCCAAAAGATGCCTTTGAATCTGGTATTTTATTTGTTTTACTTTTTCTATTATAAATGCTTTACTGAATTTCTGTATTTAGGTAAATTTTATATTTCTGCTCAGATTTGAAGCCAAAAAGTCTTTTTTTTTTTTTTTTTTAAATCTTTTTGAGACAAGGTCTCACTCTCCAGTTCAGGCCAGCTTTGAGCTCACTTTGTAGCCCGGGCTGGTCTTGAACATCCTCCTGCCTCAGCCTCCCAAGTGCTGGGATTACAGGCATGAGCCACCATGCCTGGTTTAAAAAGTCTTTAGATATGTTTATAGCATTGTAATATAGGTTAGCAACATAGTTAAATCTTTATGCTTATCACGAAGTTGTTAAACCAACCTGTCTATAGTACACATCACAGTTTGTCCAGTTCCACAGGCAACCATGATAAACAAGTATGACATGGGGCTCAGTTCAGACTACATTAGCACACATTCCCCACATCTATCACTCTCAAGTTCAGAACTATTCCCATTTTATATGGTTCTTCAGAATTCTTACTCTCATTTTGTTTGGAGAGAGAGAGAATGAATTCTTTCTCTCTATTTAACACTGAATTTCTTATCCTTAGCGACTACAAGACACTCCAAGCAAGCTTACTGAAGACATCAAAGAACAACTAGAAGGCACTTTTATTACTGAGAATCTCAATAAGTAAGCAGGCAAACACTACCTACTATGTTGTGGAAGACCTGGATACCACCCTGTGATATATGTGCAAATAACTGTTTCTTCTCTAATTCACTGAATCTCTGTTATTTTTCCCAAACAACACTAAACACTTGCTTGAGGTGATAACTCCACATCCTTTTCCCTTCAGTTCTTTTCTGTTCCACATATATACCGTATGTATTCCCGTTTTTAAGTGACAGGAAAAGGAGATGACAAGGTAACAAATAAGCTGGGATGGGTACTTCAGATTCTTCATCTGGGACACTGAACCTTGTAGTAAGAGCCACAAGTGCCTCTAGTGCCATTCAGAAGGGCAGCAGAAAAAGGCAAGGGATGAGGATCGGCATGGGAGAGGTATGCCCAAAAGTCCATCTCCAGATAACACAGGTGGGACTCAGATTGGTTAAACACAGGCTTTGCCATGTCCTCCACGTTGCCTGTTTTCATTTTATTATATCTTCCCTTTATGTTCCTCAGAGCTGTGCCTTAATTTTAACCAGATTGACTCAATGTAACAGCAAACTCAGAAATGAAACCCAAGCAGTAAAAAAACACAAAAAAATGATTGTTGTGTTGAAGGTCATCTTAATTATAAAGCATTTTCCCATTTTTTTCTATGGGAAATCCAAACAAATTTTTGGCTAACTTGAATATATAAATGTTTTAGGATCAATATTTATCAAATGCCTAGTTATAAATTAATTTATCTTCATTATATATTGACACTTAAAATCATGTGTTAAATGTATTAGTAATTTTTTTATATTCTCACATTTCATGGAAGCTGTATTCAAAATGATCTTAAGGATTATGAGAGCTACATTTTGGGTTAATTAACACATTCTTAAGCATTTTACCTTCTCTTCCATCCAAGTTGTTTAAATGGAGTACTACTCTGCCATAAAGATAAACTTGAGCATTCACAGGTAAATGGACTACTTGAGACCATAATATTAAGTGGAATAAGTCTGACACACAAGCTTAAATACCAGGTGGTTTCTCTTATATGAGAAATCCAAATATAGATGGAAAGTGGATAGATACATATGTAGATAGATGCATACATAGGGCAAATAGAAGATAGATGATAAATAGGAAGAAGGGAGAACTTTTTCAAATGAATGGGAGAACAAAAAATGGAGGGAAGGGAAAGGAATGGAAAAGAAAATAATTGAAGGGAAAAATGATGAAAATTGTGCTTTTGCAAATGGAAAAGGGACCAAGAGTTGGAAGGAGCAGGGAGGAGATAGAACAGGTAGGGGACCGCCCCCAGAAAAGTTGTATTATGTGTATGTACCAACTCCCCACAATAAATGTAATCATTATGTACTGCAATAAAAATACTAAAAAGAAAGAACCATACACATAATACTGTCACTGGAAATCTCATTCTAATCATAAGTATAGCTGTGCAGGTTTATTCTGTAGTATTTGCTAACAAATACTGTATTGCTTTGAAAGTATCTTTAAAGGCTTATTAAAAACAGCCTTCAGTGCTAGCAACTTTGAGGTTATGCCCCAGGAACAATCACTAAATCTGTGTTCAGTTTCTTGATCTCACTTTTGATTATGACATGAATGCTTTAAGTTAGTTTATTAGATGGATGCTATACATATCCAAAATCAGTATTAAGGATTTTTTTTTTCTTTTCTTTTTTTTTTTTGTCTTTTTGTGACAGGGTCTCTCTCTGCAGTTCAGACTGGCCTTGAGCTCACTTTGTAGCCCAGGCTGGCCTCGAACTCACAGCGATCCTCCTGCCTCAGCCTCCTGAGTGCTGGAATTTCAGGCATGCGCCACCATGCCTGGCTTAAGGATGTTTTAGGCTGTCTTTTTTTTTTTTTTAAATAAAAATTGCTTTATTCACCAAAATGGAAACCCTGTTTTTTGAAAGATAGTCTTCATGCTTGTTTAGTTCCTAAGTGTTTTTTAAACAAAACCCATCAATGAATGAGGCTTCTTACTCTATGGCTTTGGTGACAGAGATTCTCTAAGATGTAATACAAGTTGAATATCACTTATACAAAACACTTTTACTGGAACTATTTCAAAGTTTTAGGGATTTTAGAATATTTGCAGATAGATGTATAGATAGAAAGATAATCTTGGGGATAGGACCCTAGTAAACATGAAATTCATTTATTTTTCATATATATCATTAACCCAAGGTAATTTTATAAACTATTTTTAATTTTGTGCTTGAAACGAAGTTTCATGGTATAAAATTTTTTCCACTTGTGCCATGTTGATGGTCAAAAAGTTTTAGATTTTGGATTTCAGGTTTTTCAAATTAGAGATGCAAAACTTGTATTTAATACAGTACCTCCAGTTGTGATGCCATGATGTAGATGTTTAGTAAATGTTTATTGAAAGAATGAGAGTAAAATGTTTTCATTCAGCGTAAATCTGTAGAGGTAGGAAATGCTCTCAGACATAGATTTTGGGAAATCAGAAGAGTACTTTATATATATTCTGAATTTAAAAATGATATAAAATTGTACAGTGAATATGAACCCCAAATTATTACCAAAGTCTACATTTTCTGATTTTTACTCTAGGGTAGTTTTGTCAGAGGAGGAGCTGAACTTCAAAGGTGAACCAGGTAAGATGGTAGATACGTTGGCTTGAAATGGTCATGTTTTAAATGTCAGAACCATTTATCAGAGCCTGTGTTAATATCCATTCAATTTTTCAAAAAATTAAGTCGCTTTATAAGCTTGTTTTGTATAGTGATTAATCTTCCAAAGTGCTCCCAATTAGAGTCTAGTAGTTTTATTGGTCTTCTTTAGGGAGTCTGGCCATCTCAAAGGTGGGTGCTTTTAAATGCAGAAATCCATCTTATAGGGGGTGTGTGATTAAGTTCCACATTTTCCTCATACTTAAATTTGTGTGCTTATTTTTAAAATAAATACACTTTATATATTCATTGAACATTCTTCGAATAATGTTAATAAAAATTGTACAGATTTTGGGGCCAGAAAAGCCTGAATTTGAATCCTTGCTTTTTAAAACAAATCATTTATACCTGTATCAGTTGTCTCATCTAAAATATGAGTGATTTGTTCCTACCTTACTGGAACATTAGGGCTAGAGATAATATTCATAAACTACATAGCACATAGTAGGTGGCGAGTACATGTAAGAGATATTCTTAAATATATAGAGATTATACTGATAAAATCATTTACTAATGATTTATTAATGATAATAATCGTAAACTTATATACCTAATACGGCTTCAAAATATATGTTCATATATTCAAAGTGTTCACTGCTGTTATATGTACATCCTGTACCCTGCAAACACAGAACATTTTTTTAAAGTTACCAAGTATATATAATGGACATTATTGTAATTTTACCATTTATTCATATTATCTCTTAAATCTTGCTGTTTGGTTAGTAATGTCCCGTTTTCAATTCGAGATATGTATTTGTTCCTTCTAAAGATTTATTTCATTATTCTTTTAACAAACAAGCTCATGGATTTGTTAATATTCTCTATTGAATCTTTTCTGTTTTATTAACTTCAGTTCTGTATTTTTTTCCCCTGTACTTTGGGGTTTTCACAAAACTTTTCTTTAAGACTATAATTTCCCTCAAAATTTTACTTTTCCTGTATCTCACAAGTTTTTTTAAATAGCCTCCATACTAGTTATTGTAGTACATGCCTGTAGTCTCAGCTACTCAGAAAGCTAAGGCAGGAGGATTACTTGAGCCTGGGAATTCCAGGCCAGCTGGGCAACATAGTGAGACCCTCATCTACCAAAACAAAACAAGACAAAAGACTACCAGATGGGGGTGGGGGTGGGTGTAGCTCAGTGGGAGAGTTTGTGTGAGGCTCTGTGTTCTATCCTTAATATAAAAAGCAGAAAACAAAAACCCGTCTCCAAACCTACTTTTATCTAGATATATTTTATATATCATGAAACTCTCTCATATCAAGTGTACAAGTCAAAGGTTTTTATTTACTACTGAGAAGTGTAACCATTTCAATAAATCAGTTTTAGAATATATTTGTTTTCTCAATGAGATCCTTTATGCCCATCTGCCACAATCCCCATTCCCATCCCAAGCCAACCACTGATTTACCTTTCTATATAAATTTTCCCTTTGGGACATTTTCTCATTCTTAAATCATTTCTTCCTTCCTTCCTTTCTATTTCTTGTGGTACTGGGAATTGAACCAGGGCCTTTACACTGAGCTATATCCCCAACCCTTGTAACTTTTTGACACAAGGTCTCAGTCTCCCAGAGTGATGAGATTCTTGCGGGGAGGGGGCACCACCACACCCAGTTTGGACATTTCATTTAAATATAATCATTCAATATGTGGTCTTCTTGCATCCAGCTTCTTTCATGTCATTTAATACTTTTGAGGTTCATTTAGATATAGCTTATATCAGTAGAACCTCACTTCTTATTGTTGGATCCATTGTATAGCTATCTATAAATTTTGATATTTTCATTATCACTCATATTTTACAATTTTAAACATTTCCATATATCTCCAGTGACTCATGCTTGTGTTTGATTTTGTAATGTGTTTCTGAAATTGCCAAATTATGGAGATGTTACAATTCATCTGTTAGTAATCTTAACTAAAATGTAGCATGGTCAGAGAATGTGTTCTTATGATACTGGTTTTTTTAATTATTGGTACTAAATTTATACAAGTAGCCAAATTTTAGACTTACACAAGCAGCCAAGCACAAGTTCCTTATGCTTGAGGAGAATGAGTATTCTCTAACACTTGAATTCAGGGTCATAGGTATAGTTTGTCATTTGTGTTGTTGTCTTGTATATCTTTACTCATTTTTTTTTACTTGGTTTATCAATAGTTGAGAAATGTTTTCAAACCTCTCCCACTGTTAAATTAGATGTTTCAATATCTTCCAATAGTTTTTCAGGATATATTTTGAGGATTTGGGGGTGGTAAGTGTTTATAAGCTTAAAATTTTTATATTTTTTGAGTAATGTTTGATCCATTGTACAGTGACCCTTTGTGTTCTTAATAATATTCGTTGGTTTAAAAATCTCCTTTGTGTGTATAGTAATCAGTTTTCTGTTGCTGGGACAAAATACCTATTGTATACAATTTAAAGGAGAAAGAATTTATTTAAGTTTCATTTCACAGATTTTAGTCTATGGTCAGCTGGTTCCAAGGTAGAAATATCATTGTGGCGTGGCATGGCAGAGAAGAGCTGCTCATCTTCTGTGGTGGTTGGAAGGAGAGAGACAGGTAGGGAGAGGGAGAGGAAAGGAGGGCAGAGAGGAGGTGGGGAGAGAAAGACAGACAGAGGCATAGAGTGAGCCAGCCTTCAAAGGCAGGCCCTGTCTGTCTCTAGCTGGCCTGCCTCCTAATAGCCCCTTCAGCTCTGCACTTCTCCATGCACAGGCCCATTGATGAGGTCACTGCCCTTATGATCCAGTCACCTTCCAAAAGCCCTACCTAAGAACATGAGTCTTTGGGGGAACATTTTTGATGCAAACCTTAAGAGTATGATAGTGTAGCTTAACTGTTCTCTTTTGGTTAATATTCCTTTGAATACCTTTTTCCATATGTTTACTTCCAACTTTCCAATTCCTTATATCTTTCATAGATATGTTTCTCATAAACAAGATATCTGTGGATTAAAAGAAAAGCCAAATGTGACAATTTTTTTTGTCGTTGTTTTTTTTTTTTTTTTTCAGACAGGGTCTCACTATATTCAAACCCACTGTGATCCTCCTGCCTCAGCCTATTGAGTGCTGGGATTACAGGCCTGGGCCAGCATGCTTAGCTTTTCATTATTTTAATTGAGTTTAGTCCGTTTATTTTTATTGTCACTATTTATATTTCAACTTGTGCTTCTCATTTTCTATTTTATCTTTCCACTCCCATCCCTTTTCCTGTGGTCCAGACTTACTATTTCAGGTTTTGGGGTTTTTTCTTTTTCATTTGTTTTTGCTTTTTTTAGTCCTTTCTTTTTCCCATGAAATGGTTTGGACGTTATATATTTTATTTTTAGCTTTAGTAGTTTTTCCCTTTAAGTTTTATTCTGCCCACTTAATAAAATCTGTGGTTTATCAATTTAGTATTCCCAGAACATTACAAAGATTCTAGAAAACTAATCCCAATCATTCTTATGCCACCTCAACAACTGTTATTGTCCAATATTTCATTTCTGTCCTTTTTCTAATTTCCCACAAATTAGAACATTATTCTTTTTTTTATAAAGAAATATCAATTTACCAATATTTGTCCTTTCTTGCTATTTCTTCTATATTTTAGATCTTCATTATGAGCTTTTCTTTTTCCTTAACTTCATACTTTAATTCAGAGGTTCTCATTGAAGACTTTTTGGAGGGTAGACTTGGCTTATGTATATTTAGAAATATTGTTATTTCTCATTTTCAAGAGAGCTTTACTCAACACCAAGATTGCTTGATATTTTCTTTCAGAATTTAAAAATATGGTTCTGTTGTTTTCTGCCAGCCATGACTACTGTTGAGGAAAACAATCTGTTAGCATAAATATTATTCCTTTATAGTGAATATGACTTTTTATCTGGCTACTTTTGGGATGTGCTCTTTATTTTTGATGTTTTGTTCTTTCAGTATATTCAGTGGAGACACATAATTTTTGTTGTTAAAAATCTGTGCTGTGTAAATTGTGTTACTTAATCTGTTTTTTACCAGTTCTGAAGCATTCTTAGCCATTATTTCTTTTACTATGAAAAGTATTCATGGCTCAACCATTACAATTTTTAAAACATTACCTCTTCTCCATTTTCTTTATTCTCTTCTTTCAGAACTCCAATAAGCTTATGATGGACCTTTTCATCAGTTCCTTGTACCTTTTAACTTTTCTTTCACATTTGCCATCACCTTTTTACTCTACATAGCATTTATAGGTAAGTTCATCAGATCTGTTTTTCACTGATTTTCTCTTCTTGCACCTCATCTACTGTGTAATATATACACTGGAGGTTTTGGTTTTTTTTTTTTTTTTTTTTCTTTCGTCTCCAACAACTAGTTATTTCTAAAAGTTCTATTTGGCCCTTTTACAAATCTGGCTAGTCAAATTTTATAGTCTCTTGTTCTTTCTTTTCAACTCATGTAGGTATGTGTCTAATACACAAATGCTTGAAATCCTTGGGGCAGGGGTCTAGTTCTATTGTTACTGGTTTTCCTCAATTTTCTTGTGGTAGGTTGTTCAGTGATTTCTGATTATGACCCAGTACTTGTTTATTCTTAATCTGTGGGAGTCTTGGAGGTGTAGAGAACTTTTTGCTCATTTTGCCTCTTTCCAGAGCTGGGGGACGCCCACAGTCTGGTAGCCACATTACCCTTCTTCAGGTTAGTGTTAGAAATTGTTGCTGACTGCAGGTTTTGTCTCTGAGGAACAGAATTGCTACAGGAATTGCCCAGAGAGAATATGCCTTTCCTCTTGCTGTTCATTTTTTTCAGCTTTCAGTTTTTTTTTCTGATAAATTCAATTGTATACTATTAGAGTATTTTATACTTTTATCAAGGATTTGTTTTGGCAAAGGAGGGTGTTTCTTAGTGTCTGGTCTACTGGATTTCCAGGTAGCATTTTCCATTGGTCATACTAATAAG